TACATATTTATTCCACTCAATTAATGTGTGATTTATTTATTTTCTATTATAAGTTTTATATCGTGATATACAGTATATCGTTACCACCACCCATCATAATGTATATCGTGATATGAATTTTTTGCCATATCGCACATTCCTATCCAACACTAAGTTGGCTGCTTSTGCTCTTTCAGGTCAGACGTGTTCAGACTGTCAGGAAGCTCCTCTGTTGTTTCCTCTGCCGGTCTCTGTTTAATGGTGGATGAAATAAAGAAAGTGGTGGTATTTTATTTACTTTGAGCAAGCAAACATCGTGCTCACAAGATAATTAATCCACCAGATAATTCAGAGGCGGTCTGTTTAGTGAGTTTTACTCCAGGAGCAGCAAGCTGTGAAGCTACGTTCAGACCGAGCTCTGCCTCTGTTTACTGAACCAGCGGCTGCTGACGTCATTACGCTCTTGTACGATGCTGCGTTCAGGACAAGCAAGGAAAATCTCCCACTCTTACACCAATACGGTCACAATGATGCTTTTAGGTACCGAAACATGGTACCGTTTGATGTTACTTGAATAGGTTCTCAGTAGTACTGACATAATTCAGTCGGTACTTAAAAAAGTATCGAATTTGGTACCCATCCCTAGCACTGGGTGGCATTTGGTGGTACTGGGTGGTGGACGATGCTTGGGTAACCTCCATGTGTAGAAAATTTTCCATCTTTGTTCTGCTTTGAGCCCTACAGGCACCAGCTCCCACGAGCCTGAGCAGGAAGCAGAAGGACAGATGTGTGAGCATCATACCTGTATAATCTGCTGCAGGGAGCGCAGCCAGGAAAGACAGTGTTGCTGGAACAGATCACTGGAGCTGTCTTTGACCAGCATGGAGAGCAGGCAGAGCCCCTCAGACCTACACAGAGACACACGCACAAAAAACAGTTTCCATCATTTAAAATCCTCTCATGGGAAGTTAAACAAACAACTATAGACTRAGCTCTAAACCAAAGCAGCTCATAAAAACATTTTATGTTCATCGTGGTAACTTGTTTTTTTGTCCTAATAGAAAGGCAGATCCCCAGAATGCATGTGAGTAAATAGATTGTCATTATAATATAAATCATTACAGAAGCTACAGATACTGTTTTCAGTTTGACCTTTAATTATTCCTCCTTCCAAAATTTACTAGGAATGTACAACTGTACTCCACTGTCACAGTACAGATCAGAGTCTTTGCATGTAATCAAATTGTATATATATATATATATATACACACTCACTGGCCACTTTATTAGGTACACC